TATGTGAGACAATAAGAGGCACAGCAGATGAGAATACATTCCCATGAACACTTCACTGAAGGCAATAACATCCCCCTCAAACTTATTATTCTGTTCACTTCATTGAACAATTAACCAATCTGACACACAAGGCTAATGAACATACTCAACTCAGTCTGCGTCTCTGTGATTGTGGGTCTGTAATTGTTATCATGTTCGCTTTTTCTTTGTCTCTAATGATCGGCTGTGTAAATACAGTCTGTCACCTTCAAACCCATGCACACACACATCTGCAGACTTGTCTCTTGGGTCCTGAGCCGCCAGAGCAACATTATTGCAGATATGATCACCCTGTTCGGAGCAGTCGACCAGCTCAGCTCCCAAGAAACCGCACAGAGGAGATAAATAAAAACCACGGCCCAGACACTATCTCCTGCCCTCACGGTTTAGAAATATTCCTTTGGCTATGTGTATCTATGTGTTCTCTGCAAATAAAGAAGCAACCAGACAGCTAAACAAATAATCCATCCTGTGGGGGCTAATGCAGTCGCACTTAGGCCAGGTCTCCGTGCTGTCTTTTGTGGCCTTCTTAGTCCGAGGTTAGTTCATGCTGGCTGGTTCCCCTCTGGCAAAAAAAGACCTCTTTCTTCAGCTCATTTCTCTCACAAAAGGAGGCTGTGGAGATGCTCCTGATAGGACAGCTCACTACAATAGAGCTGCAGCCAGAAGAGAAATCACTCAGAGACAGAATAGAAAAGAAGTGCTCCATGAAAAAGTTTCCATCTGCTTTCATTTTTAAGAGCAGAGTGCATATTTTAATTGTGCTGGGACATAATTGTTTTCTTTACTATCCAACCCCTGCACACAGCCACTGAATGGTGTGCTGCAGCGGTATGTAAATGTGGATAAGAGAAGGGAGCATTGGGCTGCATGCTTAGCAGTGTCTTTGAATGATTACTGTCTGGTATTAGGCAAATGCTCGATGCTTATGGGAGCATGATAAGGGATTATGTCGCCTGGAGTAACACCATGTCACCCAGAAAGCAAGACAAGAGGCGCTTCCAATGAAGATTTCTGACTAATACTACCCCTTTTAACCTCCATTACCCAGGGGCATGTCCAGACTGGGTGGCCAAAAGAAGCACTGACTAATGCAGGGGTGGGATACACACACACACGCTCACACACAGGACTGGATGGCACTTATTGACCATTTCTCTAAGCGGTAATCATTTTTGCTTTTAGTGCTAACAGCGTGACACAATGAGGTGTCATGCAGATGTGATATTTTTCATCATGGGTGGGGTCTTGTTCACTCTGCATTGATTCTAATTTGCATAACCACCATTCATGATACATTATCCTGCCTATTAGAAGAAAAGACGGAAAACGATATTGATCCACAAAGGGAAATTCAATATTTCCTTGCTTCTAAAAAATGACATAAACAATTTGACACAAAATATTGAAAACAGATGATTTTATTGATTTGATAATTAACAGTCTTTTACCTAAAAAACAGTCTGCACAATCAGTGGTCAACTGAATCATATTCTGCCTACTTCTAGGGTTATTAAATATTCAGCTGTACATTTCAACTGACAGTTAAGTTAGGCAATCAGACGGCTTATTTGTTATATAGTGTTCATACCAGTCGCAAATACAAGTATCACTTTTACGTGCGAATTTGAATGAATATTTGTGTTTACTTCTTAAATATATGAGCCATGTTGTGTTGATGTGACGGCCCAGACTCGCTAAGTCATGTGTGTTATTTCAGTTTGTGATCATTAAACATGATTGAGGTTGACTATTCTGTGAGGATTTGTTGTGATCACAACTTACCAGGTAAACCGACCTCTCCACTCCAAGCGTTCATTCAAGCAAGCTCCTTTCTATTCTTATTTCAAAAGAAGAAACAAGATGTTACATATAACTCAGGGAAGCAGCACACCATCACCATTAGTTTATATTTTTCATTTTCTAGTTTGAATAAAAGGTGGTGGGTGAAGAGCAGGAAGGTCTTGGTTACGTTTTCTATGCATATCACATACTTGCTTTAGCACCTCGTATCCACTAACACGTGTGTAAAATGACCAGAAATTAATTCATTTCTAAGTCAAGCTTTGTGGTATCTTATGTGGCCACCAAACTACTCCCCTCTGTGATAATAAGGTCCCTGGTGAACCAGGAATATATATATCAAAAAGTAAGCTTTGCGATGGATTTTGACTCCTAAAAGGCAGGTGTCTCTGATTTGGCCCAGCAGCGGGGATGTGTTTCTACACTCCTGAAAGGGTGTGGGTCATCATTTGGGCCAGTACAGTTTAGCACAATGTTGCACTGGCGAATGGAGTGCCGTTGGCTGTGCCGGTGCAAAGTAAGGACCCAATGCCTGAAGAACAATAACGAGGAGAGACTCAAAAAGGTGCTGTACAGAGGAGACAGGATCTTTTCGATGAATTCTGACATGTAAAATATAAGTTTAGAAAGTGCTCTTGCTATTTATTCAGTGATAAAAATCAAATAGAAATCCATAAAAATGTGCCTAAGGGGCAGCAACCATAGACTGTATAAAGAATGGACAGAGTCTGCCTCCTTGCTGGTTGAAGCCACTCCGAGAACAGCACCCTCTGATGGTGGGCTGCAGTACAGGTCATAAATCCCACCTCCGCCAGCAAAGCTTATGGGGCTGTGGACAAACTTTAGAAATTTATTACACAGAACATAAATACTTTAAATGATAGGTGCAACGTACTATATGTCATGGCAATAAAAAAATATGAGGCATGTATGAGATATTAATTCATCATCATGAGCAACTTATTGACTAATGATTTATTCAAACTTTAGCCACTGTCCACTATACCGCAGCAGCGCTGTTCAGCGCCACCATAATCCTGCTCCAGACAGGAGTTTACTGGAATGCTTTTATACCAGTTTTGATGCTTCCAAAAAGAAAATCCTTGTTAGTTTCCACCACAGATGTGAGGATATCCACTTTCAGCTCAGAAAAGTTTCACATCTTTCTAATATTTCGCCTCTTTCATGTTTGACCTCAGTGGGCGAGGCTTCTGATCCACGAATATTTAAGGGCGTAAACATGTTAATGACGATCGATTTCAGCTGCCGCATTAATCAAGACCCGATCATGCGTACCCTGGGGTTGGGAACCCTTTTATAAATCTTACATGTGTCCCATTGTACGATGAATCCTGCTTACGATGGGACAAGATTGATAAATGTATGCAATTTTGTATCTAAATACTTAAATTCTGCTTCAATGCAGTTATAATTGAATTATTCCCTCCTCCAGACTAAGAGGTAGATTCACTGGTCTCTATCTATTCATAAAGAAATGCTCCTCCTTGTGATGGACATTAGCGATTCCATGATTGTATGTACAGATCTAAAGATGGCGCGGACATACTTAAGTGAAAAAGAGGTGTTACTGTTTTCCTACTTTTCTTTAAGTTCCTCTTTCCATCTATTAAAATGGGCAGGCTCAACACAACCCTCTAACCAAGCTGTGAGAGACTAAGATGGACATAAAGCTAGACTCTGGAGGCAAAGCAAGGCAGCAGGATGAGCTGAGAGGCTGGAGTCTGGTTCTGATTAGATAAATTGAAGGTCACAGATTGGAGGATTGTTGCAACACTTAAACTAAAATAATCACTGCAAGCAGAACTGAAGAGAAGAGATTTAAATTTATGGCTGCAGAAAGATGATTGGTCAAAAAGAGGGTGATGTTAAATCTGGTTAGTTCAGTAAATAAGGGTTAATGCCTGTATTTGGCTTATCACCAGAACATGAGCAGAGAAAGGACAGAGACAGGATGAGTGATCAACGTAAATGACTGACGATTAAGTAGGAACGAGCTCAAAAGTCTCCCTGCTTAAACTTACACTGAGATTTATTTTAAATCCTCACAAACTCAGAGAGAGAAGTACCACAGAGTCACAGAACAGAAAAAAACTAAAATAGAAAATGTGCCACATTGAAATGGCATAAAACCTATGAGAACCTTACAACAACACAGTCACAGAACTTGAACTTAAGTACTGACTTTGACCAGGCAACCAATCATCCTATTTATACACCTGGTATCGCCTTAAAACCTGGCATTAGTGTGGGGGGCTGAGACTTAGATATCAGACCTCCCACTGAGAGGATTGTTATCTGCCCATGTCTGGTAGCAGTCAGCCTATCTATCTCTAAGAAAGGAGCTACTATTAGATATTTGGAGTACTTGTAAAACAAAGCTGAGCACAAAAAAACTCAGTTCACTCACAAAACTAAAGCATCTCGAGAGCCCTTGAAGTTTCTGACATGAATAAAATAACATTAAGCCAGTAAAATGTCCACTGCCAGCAGAGCAATCACGGAGCTTGGTGTCTGTGTCGTTTTGACCTGTTCTTACAACGTGAAGGAAGGGACTTCTGTGCAGGGCTACACATGTAGACTTCTGTGTGGTACTACACAAACAGTCAAATGCAGAAGCATAAACCAGACTTGAGACTGCTCATAGGACCTGGGACACTGAGTTCTTATCTTCTCTGTCTCTCTCTTTCCATTACCCATCAAACAATAAATGTATGATAATAAGTTGACTCCTAGCCGGAGTTTATGAGCCCCAGATTATTGTGTCATTATTACAGCTGTTAAAAGGTAATCATGATAATTCCAATTATCTTTTATTGTTATTTTTGTTGCTGTCTCATCCTCTGTCTGTCCATTTGTGTGAATCATTTGCTCTCCTTCTGTCTTGCCCTTTCAATCTCAGCCCATCTTAAAGATAGATAGATGTCACTGTCCAGAGTTAAACAAAGAGGGAAAAGACCCAAAATGCAGAACGAAAAAATTATTTATTTAAAGAGAATGAAATAAAAAGGCAACAAAAAGAGAAAAATCCATAATGCAAAATCCACAAAAATCACTGGGGCAAAATCCCAGCGAGCAACTGGGAGAACAGGCATAAGCACACACCAACATACACACACGATGAACCAACATGGACAGAGGGGAAGACAGGGACTATGTACACACTGGGAAACGAGCAACAGGTGAGGCAAACGAGCAACAGGTGAAACTCATGGGTGATTAACGAAGGAGGGAAGACTAGGGAAGTAAAACCAGACTAGAAACACAAAGATTAACGACTACAAAATGAGATGGGAAACACTGAAAACGAATCTACAGAATAAAACACTAAGAACGGGAGAGAAACAGGGTCAAACACAAACTGAAAACTTAGGAGATTGGACTTTAAGGGAACAGGAACAATGGAGGCCAGAAACACGAGGGTTAATACACCAAGAAGATACACTTAAATGACAAAACCAGGGAAAGACTAAATCATAAGAACATATCACAACAATGGACAGAACGATAGAACAAACGATAGAATGATAAAACGATAGATAGATAGATCTTAGTGATTAATTACAGGGTGTCCATCAGATATCAAGTGCTTATACCCATCTTGGACACACTCCTGTCCCTCCTCTCCCACTGAGTCCCAGCTTTTCCAAACAAAAGAAAACACTAACTCCCACACTTTCCAACCCCTCACATCCTGACCACCTTAACCAGGAAGACCAGTGTCTACCATTAAAATGCTCGTCCTTTAATTATCCATCTGCTCCATCCACCTCCTCCCCCCTGCCTCTTAAAGTGTAAATACCTTTTGTGTAATTTACCCTGAAGTTCTCTCTCACTGATTAGCCCCCTCTGATTCCTCCCCCCGTCTTGCCGAAACAAACTCCTGCTCCAGGTCTCCCCCTGTTACACTATAGATTCCCTGTCGACTCACTATGGAAAAGATCGAACTCTAATTAAGATTGTTAATGAAGATTTAATTTTCCACTTCAAATGAGCCGCTGAACTCTTGGAGCGTCCCGAGCAAAATGCAGGAGTGAGGAGAAAGAAGGGAAGAAGAAAAGAAGAAAAAGAAGAGGTCTGGACTAGAAAATTAGCACAAAGGGAGTTAAAAGTTTCTTGTACAAGGTTGTTAGACATTTAACTACCCAGCAGGATGCTGTCACATCTGTAGGCTAAAGTTACACCAGCCATTAGCAATACTTTCCTCCTGCCATGTCAGCATATAAAACAGCTCAGATCCAAAATATGATGGTTCGGGTAATATTGAGGGTCAGTTTAGTCTGTTCAGGACTCTGTGGACTTTAGATAAGACTTATGGAATAAAGTGTGCCACAGACAGAGCATAAACAAGCAGCATATGGTTAGTATGTTACGACCCTGACCTTTATTTCAGTTATTTCCTCTTGTTTCCCGGTGTTTTCCCCTTCCCCCAGTGTCTGTGTGATAGCAGGTGTGGCCCATCTTCTCCTGTACCGCCCACCTCTTCCTGGTCCACCTCCACCTCCACATGGTTCCACAGCTGCCTCTCATCTACAATTAAGCACAGTCTAAAAGAACCCCTGGCTTTTCCTCCACCAGCTGCCAGATTATCTGCTAACCAATGTGGTATTTTGCTGGCTACAAATCTTTTAGGTGTTTCTGTCAATTTGGAAAGATTTTTTGAGTGCTTTTTCTTTTCAGACATTTGTATAATCAGTTTTGTTCTCCTTTGTTCCAGTTTTCTGCCTGCCCGCCTGCGCTCACACTTGGACCATCCCCTTCATCTGTCTGTTTTCCTCATTATCAATAAACCCTTTGGAAATCAGTTCTCATCATCTGTTGTGTTGCTTTTGGGTCAACTTTGAGAAAGCCTAACATAGTATTGTAGCATAAAACAACAAAAAAGACATCTTATAACTTTTTGGCTGTGCAACTATTGGTGACATATGAACATTGTTGTAAAGTTGTGAAAAAATATCAGGGGGGATGGTGGATTTTATTGTTTGGGACAGCTATTTTGTTCTGATGACAGTGCACATGGTGGGAAACCAACTGTGTACCCATTTTATTATTTCTTAAGCACAAAGATAATTATTATATTACATAATCCCTCAGATGGCGTTGTCAATGTCACTTGGCCATGGTACTGAAATAACAACAGCATCATCAGCGCTGCTCACTGATATCATTTTTTTTTTTTTTAAAAAGGGGGGAAAAAAAAATATTTTCACAGGTGCCGCCTCACCCAGAGTATTTCACTAAATATGCGCAAAGCCCCCCGTTGCAGGGTTCTCACGCAAACATTCACAATGTAGTGGAAAAACACAGGCATAGCAGAAAACACTGTGGTGGTGATATTTATTTACAGCCGGCCTTCCAAGGTGTTGTGCAAAAATATTTACAAAAACCAAAAAAAATGTCAACTACTATTTACAAGATTTAAAAGGCAAAAAAGGAAATGCCAACTAGGCAGGAGCTCCACTATAACTGAAGATTCTCACTCAAGACTCACTCATTACCAATAATCACACTTTGTCCAGCTGTGATTGGACAACATATTAGCACGAGCTGCTTCATCCCCAGTCTTTAAAGTCATATACAGAAAATGTGACCACAAGTTAATGTGTATTCTTTGATTATTTTGTCTTTGTAGGGGTGTGACAAAAATTGCAATAAGCTACTGACATCCATATACACCATGAAATCCTTAACCATGGCAACAAGCAGAATTGATGTAGGCATGATGTACTTTATTTAAAAATGCATCCCCTGCACATGTAGTCCTCTTCCCTGCACATGTAGTCCCCTTCGGTGGAGGGGTGGTCCATACACATCATGTGGTACCACTTGTTGCAGGTGGTACACTCTATCTAAAAAGAGAAAATAAAGAAGCTTAGATTACTGTTATTCAGTTGACAGAGAGCACATCAGGACATTGAAGCACATTTAAACTCTATATGGCCGAAAGTATTCTTCACAATCTAGATCTTATCTGTGCTCCTGTCAATATGGGGTTCTTGCATCCTTTCAGATGCACCCGTGGCTGTAGAAAGTGCAGAACAGTCAAATTAGGTGAACTTAACAGTTAATTTCCAGTAGCTGCGTGTAATTGTGAGAGTTCACCCAGTGAGAAGAAGGTGCCCAATCCACTGTGGATCGTAGTCCGCTAGCCCAGTGTTGGCCAAGAATTGATACAATCATTTTACCTACTGACCCAGAGACATAGGGGCCTACTGACATAGGGGCTGTACTTGGTGGTTAGCTGCTTCCTCGTTCTGAGCCCAACATTGTGGACTGCAGCTAGTGGTCCCACTTGTTTGGGCAGTCTGAGACTAGTTTGTTCAGGGACCTAAAAATTGACAATTCAAGTATAAGCATGAGGAGACAGCAAAGAGTTGGCTTTTGTCAGAGGAACTCTAATTTCAGTAGGATTTTACAAACAATACATATTTTGCAATAACAGGTATCCTTTCAAGTATAAAAAAAACATACCTCTGTTTTGTCCCATTCATTTTTTCCATGACGCCATTGGTCTGGGGATGATAAGGAGCAAAAAGGCTGCTATTGATCCCTAGTCTGGTACACAGTCCAGAATTTACCTTTGAATTATAGCAGGGTGAGATCTACAAGTCTGCACAGCAATAGTAAATTATTGAACACTCAGGGCTCTATTTTCATTCCTCCTGGCGTAAGTCAGGTCTGCTGCGCCAACAAGGTGTGCCCAAGCATGATTTGTTTTTTTGGTGAGTGGCAAGCCCGGCGTAAGTATTTTCCCTCCATAACTCAGCTCCTCCCAGCGGCGTAAGTACTAGAGAGGGAGGAGAGAAGGCGTGGAGTGGATTTAACACAACCGAGTCCAATTTGCGGCAATCACATCAGCTCCTCTCCTTGCCTTTGAAGCCGCCCCCCGCAAGGCGTATTGCCATTTTTGTGGGGCAGTCAAAAAAATGGCAGAAGATGGCAGTGTGCAACAGCCGAACTGCTCCCAGGAGGAGACTGATGTTCTGGTCCGGGACGTCCAGTCTCGCAGTGGCAAGATTTATGCTCATGCGAACAGACCTCCACGGGCAGATGATGCCAAAGCAGCCTGGGAGAAGGTAAGTACTGCCATGAACCAGGTTTGCCTGGACATGCTGAGAACCGCTACGCAATGCAAAAACCACTTCAATGATGTTAGACGACGGGCTAAACAAAAACTATCTCAACACCATTGCCAGATGGTAACGATTGGAGGCGCCCCCTCACCGAGTTTGAGTTTATTTATTTAAACCAGGGACAATACATATTAATGAACATGAACATGTAAATATGCAAGATTATAGCCAACGGCTAATTTCCATCTTTAGTCCCTTCAGCAGGTTGATGTTGACAAGATAAGATAATAAAATCAATAAAACTACAGTAACAACAAGTAGAACAGTTAGCCTTCATGGCCAGTATGAGCATGGGGAGTAATTACAGAGAGGGAAAAAATGTCTTTGAAAACACAATAGGACAGAAAATGAAAAATAAAAACAAGAACAATGAAAAGTATAGCGGATCATGAAACATACAGGCCAGGGGTCAGGGGACCATATGTATTTCACTAGCATTAAATGCTAAAATTAGCTATCAAAGGGCTGATTAAAGTGCAGAGTGCTGAAGTGTTAAAGCGTTAGGTGTGTAATTATATTGCAGATTGCCCGATTGCACAGTAGATGTAAAGTGCTATTTTAAATGCACAATACTCAGAATATAAAGTGCATGCCTTGTGCATGAGTTTGGTGCTGAGCCCTGCCGAGGACATGGCTTCCTCCACACTCCCCCAAATAAGTATTGAGGGGTTTGGTGTCTCTGAGGTTGGACCCACTATGGACCCCTTTCCACAAATGTTTGCATGTGAAATGAACTTGGCTCACACAATTTATAACTTCTTTATTCTGAATGAAAGTCCTATATTGTGTGAACGTTTTAAAAATGAATTACTACTTTGATTTACTAAAATAAATTTTCTGTTCAGCCTTGGCAGAATTGCCACCATTGTGGCAGCAGCAGCAGAAGCACCAGGTCAGAGAGGAGCAGCAGCTGCAGATCAGGGAGGAGGAGGGCGAGGAGGACCAGGGGGAGCTGGTTCCAGTGCCAGAGACACCGGACGGGGCAGGTCACAGACCTGAGTCGGCAAGACGAAGGCGTAGACGTGTCTGGGTCCAGGAGGAGAACCAGCCCTTCCTGAAGACCCAACAGGCTGGGTTTTCCATGTTGGAGAGGAAGCTGGGGTTGATGGGGTCTTGGCTTGGGTTGCTGGAAGCACAATTAAAATCTCTCCTGGAGGTCCTCCAGGACAGCCTGCTCCCCCTAGCCTCTGGCGTTGCCACATTCAGCAGACTGGTTGAGGTAGCAGAAAGGCTGCTGCCATCCACAGAACCATCCACCTCCCCCCGCCTGTCCTAGGTGGCCACTGAAGCTGTGCATAAGAGGGGGGCAGCCCCTGGGTTGATGGACCACGTGCAGCATCAGGACACTCGAGGAGGAAGAAGATGAAGAGGAAGAGGAAGGGGGTGGCAAAGGGACAAGAAGAAAATACTTGTTAACACAATCATGTGTGACTATTTATTAGATGTTTTAATGTGGACAATTACAAATCACCACGTGTATAAATGAATGGAAGCAAATACATTTAAGGGCAGAGCTGTGCTGCAAGGCGGTCCCTCCTCTCCCGTGCGCTCTGCTGCTCTCCCTGCTGATATAACACATAAAATTCAGCCTCTCTCTGTCTAATGTCCAGTAATGTGTCCTCAGTGAGGTCAGAGTGGCATCCTTGACATATAGCTATGTTGTGTAAAAGACAACATGCCACAAAGAATGCACCAACACTCTGCGGGATGTATGCTTATGAACCACCTGACATGTCCAGACATTTGAAGCGCATTTTGAGGATTCCAAGAGTACATTCAACTACTGACCTAGAACTGCTGAAGACACCCTTACAAGCACGTTTCTGTCTTGTTGAAGGTGTAATGTATTGCGTCATCAACCACGTTTTCAATGGATAGCCATTATCACCTAGCAGCAACCCATGACTGTAGGGATGATAGAATTCACCAGGATGAATGAGTCATATGCAGACCCGGGGTAATTAGCATATACGTTTGTCACCAGGCGATTTGAGTCACAAATCACCTGGATATTGATGGAGTGGACTCCCCTTTGGTTCACATAAATGAGGGCTTGGGTCTCTGGTGCGTGCAGCTGCACATGTGTGAAGTCGATTGCTCCAAGGACCCTTGGGAATCCATATTTCAACAAGAACCCTTTCTTCGTTTCCAGGTGGTTCCAGGTGTTGATGGGAAAATTATGTGCTCATTTGCATGTTGGACTAGACTGATGGACACTGCATGTATGGCCAAACTGACAAAGGCCTTACTGATCCCTACCACTGAGGCCACGGTATGCTGGAAAGACCCGGTGGTGAAGACAGTCAGAGCCGCTGTCACCCTCACAGCAACTCGGAGAGCGCATGGGCCACTGGGGTCCGCATCTAAAGCCACAATGCACGTTACCAAGTGGACCACCTCACAGGACCGGTGTAATTTGTTCCCGTGTCAAGGGAAAGAGTAGATTGTTGAAAGGCAATTGCATTGAACATGGTGTTGGAGGCGTTATCCATGTGGCCCACCTGCATTCCTGCTCTGTTAGGGCTAAATATGATGCCCTTTGATGGTACACCCTCGCCCTGTAACTTCTCCTTCTCCTCCTCCACCACCTTACAGCTATGTACTCCATCTTTGTAGATAATGTTAAGCATGGAAA